CCGCGTACAGTTATTATTGAGTTAATCAGGAAAAATTTTATATGCGATATATTATGAAGTATTCCAGATATACGTGTACTAAAACTGTAAGAATAAGTATTCAGTAGCTTTAGGACACATAAAAATTTTATGGTAAATGCTTGCCAAATATTTATTTTGTAACTAATGAATTCCCATAAATCGTTTAATGGATTTTATTTCAAAATTAGATATTTACCGTAAAGTATGATCTCGTAGAAATTATCATAAATTTTTTTCGTAATGTTAAAGTGAAATGAAACAGCATTTCGACAGATTTATGTTCGCTATTAATTTATATCAACACGCCGCGCAATTATTTGCGGTGCTCTCGTAATTGTAATTTCAAATTTTCACTTGTGCGCGAAAGACACAAAACATGCGTATATATATTGGCTTTTACAAATTTACATTTCCCTCGTGTAATCTACTACTCTCGTGCTCATAATGCAAGTAATTTTACTCTCTGTCATCTGCGAATGTAATTATCCTCAAGTTGCTCCGTGGCTCGCATTTATGAGACGCACGAAGTTATATAACTATTGGGGAAGCACCGTCACTGAACATCGTTAAACTCGCGACAAACGGTTGTCATAATCTCCAAGTTTAGATAGTTTCGTCACCTCGAATTCACTGGAAAATATCATAACGTTATCACGCGTTACCATCCACAAAATTTGCGACGATTTGCACGCACTGACCTATATATCGCAAATATACACAACGTAGTGTATTTTATTTATATTTTTCTCTTTCGTTAAGATAACCTATTTAATTCTGGATAGAATATCGACTCTGCACGTAAAAAGTGACACACATCAAAAATAGCAATTTTACCGATTTTAAACTTTTAATTGTTCCAAATGCATATTATTTTAATGGCTTTATGCACTAAATGCAGCAGTTATAATTCCTCCTGAATAATAAGCTTAATTTGTACCTTATTACCATCTTTGCCCGACAAGGGATTGAAATGTCCACCCCTTTTTACATCTGTGCCATTTTCCTTGAAAATTACCTCGAGACTATTTAAAAATGGGTTCTGGGGAAACAAGTGTTTCACACGATAATAGAAACTCTTTATTGAAGAAAAATCATGCTAATGTAACAGAAACATCATAGATACGTTGTAGGAATATTTTGTAAATTTATATCGTATAAAAGAAACGCAGGTATAGAATTCTTTTAGTAATAATATTAGTGATGACGTATTTATTTAATTGTAAACTATAATAAAATAAAGCATAATACTTCGGTATTAAAGTTTTATATAATAAACTAATGAGATCATTTTTCTCTTTTCACTGATCGGTAATTGTTCATCGTATAAAGGAGTTAGTTGAATTTTCTTACGGAAAATTTCTTACTCTTTCTGGTGTTTCTAATTTCAATTTCAGCAAAGTTTAGTTCACTGAATGTATGATGTTTAGTAATATAACTCGCACGTCTCCAATTTTTTTATATTAATTTTACCGAAAATATTGATCTTATATCTAGGTTTTTAAATTAAGGAAACTACGAGGACCATTTCCATTAGCTCGCAAGACTCCGTTTTTGCCGTCCAGATTAATGTAAAATACTGCTTTAGTACAAAAATTAATCGTCCCTTTTTATCCCTTATTTGAATAAAAGTATCTACATACGTTTGCGGGTTGATAAATTATAAATACGCAATAACTTCTATTTTTTACTTGTGTCGTTTTTCTTGCAAAGGTAATATATAATTTTTGCTAATTACTTTGGCTATTTTAAAGAAAGGAATAAAAATACAAAAATTTTGCAGGGAAATGTTTGTCGCATCTATTCGTTATTCTGATGCTGGTTTTCCAAGTGTAAAATGCAAAAGACTATAAACAGAAAACATTTTAACAAAACGCCCATATATCCTTCCTAGTATAAAACATTTTTAAAAAGTAGCGAAAACAGAACTTTTAATGGAAGAGCTCTATCTTTGCTCAGGGAAATTCTTCTTCCAAAAAAAGAAATCGTGAGAAATCTTATCGCCATGTTACATTAAAAATTACAATCGGTATTGTTGATGTTGGTGCGAAAAAAAGTGCATTCTTACTAAGCTCTTACGAATTAAATTATTTCTTCGTGGACTCTGTAATTGTATTCGTATAAATGTTGCAATCAATTGTTTTATCAATTGTCATTAATCGAACAATTTATTTAACTCGAATCGCGACAGGTATCGTCGATCGTTCTTGCAGGTTTTGCGCACTGTCTCGATTTTAGCTCGCTATTTCATTCTCTGGACTTTGACGAAATCTGACGAAATCTAGCCCTCGTCACACGCATTTGTCTTATTTATTGTTTTCGTGTTATCTCACTCCTAACTTTCAGATTTCCAAGGGATTCTCCTCACTTGTATTTTCGCTTGAGCCAACGACGGTGTCACGTACCCTAATTATAAAAAATCGCGCTTTTCGCTTGTCCTGTATATACTTTAAATCTAACAGATATACCTAAATGTCTATGAATACAATAATTGTCGGCTAAATGTATTTATTTTACAAATACATTTCGAAACTTTCCTCTGTTTCGTCCAGGTTATGATACACTTGCGTAATGTGATTCGCTTTTATCGATGAATTTAATGGCTGTGCGAGCCACGAAAACGACAGATTTATTTTTCAACCATATAGAAAAAGAACCGCGATGCATTTTAACACAACGCGCTGTAATTTTACACTAGTCAGAACCGGGCTCGAGTCACCACCGCAGTCATTCGAAATTCTATCTTCGCATAGTGCAGCGGGCAATTGCAGAAGGACGGTCGAATGAATGACGTGGTCGTATCGAGTTTCGAACCTTTTGACCCCCGGTCGACAAATTCTCCGCTATATTATAAATTTTTTCGCGAGGCTGCTTCTTCGTCACTAGAACAGCGAATCCATCAGTGCCTTTTGTCGATCGTGACAAATCTCTACTTTTATAAATTTTTAATCAATGTTATTAATTTTGGAAATTATTATTCAATTTCTTGCATTCGCGATTCATCATGCACGTGAACTCGAGAATGCTTTCCTGTAGATAAAACTTTTTTAATGCAATAATGTATTAACGCACGCTTATGATCGTCGCGTTTCTCTCTCTCTCTCTCTCTCTTGTGTGATAAGGGAAGATAAATTTCTCATAAGTCTCATAAGTTGTGCTTTCAAAGTGACACGCGTCACTTGTGAACGGCGTAAACGATGTTCCTGGCGACGTATGCCCGTGTTCATCGCATGTCACATGTCACTTCGATGCACCATCTCGCATATAAATCTACGAAACTGTTTTCAAAATGACATATTGCGGACAAAATATCGCTAATATGTATTGTTTTATCTCGCCAGCATGACAATTCGCAGTGGTACGGGTGCTATCAATTTTTCCAGGTTGACTACCAATTTTTTTGGATATATGTTTCATATGATGCCCTGTACCTACATGTAAAATTGATGGGTCCGAAATCACATTCTCGGGTACTAGAATTACGTCTAAATAAAGATTTTTTAAAGAAATTATATCTTTTACTTTCGGAAAGGCTTGCATAAACGAATAGGGAACCTTCCCACATAACATTGGATGCCCTCGCGTACACTTTTTTATCTTAATAGATTTGGACATGATTGTACGAAGGTTTAGACATCTAATGGACATACATTTAATATCGGCGTTGTATATACATTTTACATACAGGATAGTTTTTTCATGCCATGAAGGAAAAATACATATACATGCAATAAATGCATTTAATAAATGTCTATAATTTGTATATCCTTTGCGGTATGTAGTATGTACATGTAGCTATATACAGCTGATAAATCACAATTTCATACATGAATTATTATACAAGACACGTAAGCATTAATTGGGCATATCCTGTTTAAACTTTCGTACAATCATGTCCAAATCTATTAAGATAAAAAAGTGTACGCGATAAAATTGTATTCTATATTTAAAGAATATAAAATGCAACTGAAACAATGCATGTATGTGCATTGAAGAATGGAGGTATATACATCGTACGTATGTACATACATAAGTTACATATATGTATATACATGACATATTTTGATATTCGTTTTATATGTGTATATACATTGTACATGGCATGTATATACATTGCTGGATATACGAATGTACATATTATGTATATGCATATGTGTGTACAAATTATGTACACACATATACTACATCTGTAATGGATAACAAATCAATATACGTCATGTATATACATAAAATGTGTAAATCATGTACAAATGTATATACATACCTAGGACTTTCTATGTACTTTATTCCGGTAACATTTGCACATACATTTGATATCTAATGTATGTACTGTACTAAAAATTCATATTCATAGATGTATATACATAATATATACACTGTACATGAAAATGTTTTGTGGGTTATAATACTATATCTTGTTTGCGTTGTTATGTGGAATGTAAAAGAAGATTCGACCGTATTTTTCGACTTTTCAAACAAATACCCTGGAACGGAATATGTGTTCAACGCGATGCTGTTGGCGCAGAGCAGGTATTCTCTGTACCAGAGTATTCGGCCGTTAATCGAGTTCACGAGTAATATCGGAGTACTCGAAATCACGGGTTCGATTTAATGGATTTCGATTAAACTGATTCACGAACGTTTTTGATCTAATCGGATTTTCGATATGTTTCACGTTGGCACGTTCCACGATTTCTGATACTGGCTTCCGCTGTTGATATATCATTGTTATGACAACCTGGTGCAAACAATCGGAGCCTGCAAAAATTAATTTTCCTCGGTCGATATCTAGAAAAATTAATTGAATACGCAAGTATTTTTCCGATATTTTCGAGTAACCGGATAACAACGGCACAAGTCTCAGGAGATTCGGGCTAGAATTGGCGGATGGAGGAATTCAATTTTTCTTATGTCAAACGTTATTTAAAACTTTTGCCGATCTCCTGGTCCTCTAACGTCCCTTGCACTCTCTTGTGTTGCAGGGCGACAAGCGAGGAATCTACAATTACTGGAACAGACACCGGGTCATCATCGCGGTACGCAGGATGCATCATTATCGGACAGTTACAATAACAGTGAGTGACCATACGTTGACGAGCGCAATCCAACTGAAAATCACTAGCAAAAGCCGCTAGATCCCACGGGATGTTGCGGGAGTGTCGCACTCGATGTCGAAAATCGGACTCGCGTGGCTCCGCGTTGCGAGTGTCAACCGGGACCGAGCATTATCGTCCTTGTTGTTTGCGTTAAAGGCCAAAATAAACTACGGAACGCCGGGCGCTTTCGCGTTACGTTAACGATCGCTGCACGTGTACGGGACGCACGTGTGTGTCGACAGATATCGTACGTGGAGTCGCGGGCACCTCGTGAAATGGGCCATTTCGCGCCTCGGCATATCCGCCTGCTTGTAAAATAACTTTCCCTCTCCCCCCCACCCCCATCATCCCACGCGATTCGATTCTTTCTCGCACTACCAACCTCGAGCTCTTTTCGATATTATACCGCGACGATAAACCCGCGGTGGGCTTATCGCCGTATCGAGCGCACAGATTGTTTTATATGTATAATCTCTATTGAAAATAATCCCCACCCCCGTGGCACGTACGCGCGCGAGTGCCGTCGCCTAGCAATGGATTTTTATGCCGCCTTTATTTTTTGCAACGCGTATCGATCATTACGAAACGGTGAGCGCCAACAAGTTATTTTTTTTTTGCTAAATCACATGGATGCATAATGCAGGCAACAAGCCGTATATTGTTCGATGGATAGCGCACGTCAAACGTTGGTAAAGCAATAAAAAGCGATACTCGGCGTTGCACTCGTTTTAATTTTACGAGTCTCGTTATTGCGCATTAAAGAGTAACATATGCATAATCATTTAGAGCAAGGCAATTTTCTGCTGCTTTGTGTGTGTGTGTATGTGTGTGTGCGAAACGTGACCGAATTGCGCTTTTATATAGAACAAACCGCGGAAAACGGCTTTTAGTTGCTTACATTACGGTCTAATACATGTAACTGAAATGCAATGTACTGCGATATTAAAGCTGTCCGTTATTTTGATTCCGTCTTGCTTATTTTGCACTTCGGAATTTATTTATTAAATTTTTTTTCGCGTGCGTTTGATTTTTAAACAAAAGCAGGCGAACGTATTTAAAGAGGTCAATTGTCATTGATAATTTAATTGTTTGAAAAAACGCGTTTGCAAAACGGCTCAAACGACATGTAATCCGTTTGAATAACATACTTTTATTACAATTATCGCATCTTTTATTAGTAATTACAGAAATGAAAGAGCACGGTACTATTTTACAAATATAGTTTGAATATCGAATGATTGGGGAGAATATCTGTATACGACGGTTACTAAATATTAGATTTCTACTTCTCGCTTTATCATGATTTTTTAACGCATTCACCGCCAAGCGCATTTTACCTGAGTTTCCATTTACTACGGGTTAAATGATTTTTGTATTAAGGAAGAGAATAAAATATTTAATTTTTAGTATTGAATTTATGGTATTGAGTTGCAATAAAATATGATATACGATATTTATTTGACAGTCGCCCCATTACAGTCGCTGATGATTGACGTACCGCGAACAAAAAACTCTGTGTTGGTCACCAATGGCCGTCGATAGCGGTGAATGCGTTAATATTGTGGCTGCAACATATCATTTGTACATACTTTGTTACGAAACTTCCGTTAAAAATGCTCACGATTACCAGCTCGATGAAGCAATCTCGCTAAACGAATACTCGATGTAGAAATTTGAGAAGTATTTCGCAAATCAGCAGTGATTTCTCCCGTTCTCGCTCGGCGCGGCTCAATAACCATTTTGCGTATGGTCTTATCGCTCGGTATCAGAGAAGCAGCCGGGTAGGGGCGGGTTTTTCGGACGAACAGCCGTCAAATCCCGACGTCAGATAAAAATATATCAGCTGCGTCACAAAAGTCGGATGAAATCTCGCCCGGCTCCACCGCATCTCACTCATCTACCCCCTGCCAACCCATCTCGCCCGCCATCGCCCGCTATCGCCCACCTCGATTCTCCACACTCCCGCGTCCTCCTCGTCAGGACTCCAGCCTGGTTTTTTGTTCGCGAAAATCCGCGATGAAACCTCCGCGATGCGGAGAGGAGAAGTTTCGGTATGCACTGGCTCTCTAAGTGCCCCTCCCCGGTCCCTCCCCCCGTCGCCGTCCTACGTCCCTTCTATTTGCCCGTCCCGCGCCGATCGATATCACCGACACCCCGTGATTCCGAAGCCGGGTGCCGACTTTCGCGGCGGCAAGACGCAACGTCGCGTCGGTGTTCCATGGAACACGCGCGAATCATTCGTCACAATGGTGACGTGCTGCCGCTCGACTTGCCACCCCCTTGCTGTCCCCGCAATTTCTCCCGTTCCTGGGGAGAGAAGTCTATCGCTATACCCCCGTACGCGAGCGTTCGACGTTTCCTTCCTTCCTGCCTGCCTTCCTTCCTTCCTTCCTTCCTTCCTTCCTTCCTTCCGTTCCTCCTACTTCTCTCCTTCCCGTCCGATTTCCCGCTCCACCTGTTTCTCCGACGAAGAGAATTCCCCCTTCGCCCGAAACGCGATCTCGCCGTCGTGCGCGCCGAGACTAATCGGTAACATGGGCACTCGGGAAATCTTACGATCTGACCAATTCCCCGGGAAAAGGAACGACAACTCTTACGCTCCGGGAGAAACCGACGTTTCTTTGCGACGTTAATTTGCGATGTTTCGCTTACGTAGATTTCTCGCGAGATTTTTAATATAGATGTGCTTTGCGTTTTGCGATCACTATTGGCAGCAGGAGCAGAGGATCGGTGCGACGGTACTGTGTGCACATCCTGCAGACTCTGTGCGCGCACATAAAATCGAATGCGGATTCCACGTATATTATTTATATTTATTTGAATCCCTTTTTCGTTTCTTTCGACGCAACATTATAATTAATGATTAGACCCTTGTCACATTTTATTTCAACATTTTGTTGTGACGTAAATGATAACGAGGGCAGAGAGACACTGTGAGATAATTTTGCGTAGCTGCCATTATCGGATTCCGAGCGAGGTGAAGCGAATTCACTTTACAGCGCATGACCCAAAAAAGTTTTAATCATATCGCATTAATAACGTAAACTAATCAGGCAGCAGTTAGACTGTTAATTAACTGTCTCGACTGTAGGACGGATGATGAATAATTTAATGTTTACGGTTCGTTTGCACCCTAATCAACCGAGTCGCCTGCGTTAAGCGGGCAATGTGGGAAGTTGGGGTTGTTTAGATAAACCAAGGAGATGGCATTATTTGGAGAGAAGTTTACTCGTCGTAAGACAATCAGATTCGTAACTAGACCTCGCGCTGCGAATAAGAGCTGAATAAGATCCGGCTGTAATTTGCGGAAATGAACCGATTGTCATCTCGCTGATGTGCATGCGAATGACGATGTAAACCGGGGAATAAACAAGGCGAACGGATAGGATTTCTACCTACCAGCAACGTAATTGTTAACAATATTGATAAGTTCTAAGTGTAAATGTTTAGAAATTTTAATTGGTATTCTTATTGTTATAATTTTGTCATTCAAACTAAGACTAATATTTTTATAAAGTCGAGCGAGATTAATTAATTTTAACGGAACTGGATCTTTCAAATTATTATGAATTTTATCTTCAATCTTCCCCGTAGTTTGATATCAAAGAGAGACATAATCTGTTTCAAGTCGAATTAACTCGTAATTATTTTGTAGCAATAACAAATGTTACCGATTATCGCAATGACACAGACACAAATATATTTCAGTAGTTTTTGTCGCCAGTTGTAATTAACCAAGGGGGTATTTTTTAAAAATCGACCAAACTGGCAAAAGTAATGTTTATTTTAGTCGCGACGTTTCGACCCCTTTATCATCAGTTTTATTCGAGATGCGCAAACGTACGGTTGCTACATGGAAATTTTAGAAATTGACATCGCCATTATAAATCCACTATTTGAATTAAAATGTTGAGTCAACTTTATAATAGATTGTACTTGAAAAGGACCCGGTAAAGGGGTCGAAACGTCGTGACTATTATAAAATAAACATCATTTTTGTTAGTTTGGTCGATTTTTTAAAAAATTTCCCTTGGTTAACTATACAATATACAAGTACACACGGAAAGAAAATTTTTCGTTACCGTAGCTATAATTAGTTTGCTAAAAATATTTTGCCGCCATAACTATAAATTTCTGAAGCACAGCAAACGATTTGTTGTCACACCTAATACAATAGGCGCAGTAGCAAAATATTTAGCTATCGCAACTAAATATTAGCCGTCCATATTTGACAACTGAAATTTAGTTGCCACGTGCAGTTTTTAGCTACGGCGGCTACATTTTTCTTTCCGTGCAATGCTAATCTACACCTTAATCTATTTCACGCTCCTGAGATAACAACGTAGTATTGCATAAAATGCGCGCGACGCAAAAGCTGAATAATTTGAAAACCGCGCAAACCGGGCATGCCGTATTGCAAGTAATATTTGTCCTCGTTAAGAGACAAAATCAAAGGCGATAAGGGAATAAGGGACGGAGTTAGACCGAGTATAAGAAGACCGTGCTTGAATCTTAAACTAACCGGCACGACTACCGGCACATTTCGGAGACGAAGTGCTCAGGCGCGGGCATGAATATGAATGAGTCCGCGGGGTGATATTCTGAAGTGCGAAATAAAATAATTTCCTTCGTCGCGCCGCGGAATATGCACGAGGCGGGCACGAGGCGTCATCGGTAGAAGCGCGGGAATAAAGTACGACGAGTGTGACGAACGTAGAGGAGAGACGCGGCGAGGCCGCGTTTCTTTATCGCCGCGCGCGAACGCGCTTCCCTCGCGGTTTCTCCACGGCGCGATATTCCGTCTGTCGAAATTTCCGACACGGCGGTTTCTGGAGGCGAGAAATACGCGGAAACGAGACGCGGGCGAGAGGGGCGTACACGCTGGTGAATAGTTAGTAAACGTTAAGTAACCGGCGCTGTATCGACCTGCCAAGTGTGTGCATATCGGATTTCGGCGACGGCGGCGGAGATAGCGGCGG